AAATATATATATATCCACAGTTCTTCTGGAAGAATAAATGGGTACTGATATCTCAGAAAACTTTGCAAAAGAATGATAGTAAAAAAGAACTTTTCCTATCAAGTATTAAAACATGTCATCTCAATACAGTAGAGAGATAATGTCACAGTAGAAGCTATGACTCAATGAAATAGAACTGAAAGTCACACAACATGTGTCAGGATATAAACCAATTTCTTCGAGTGGGAAGATGGCATTTTAAATCACTGAAGAAAGTTCCAACTGGTCAATTAATCGTCCTAAGAAAACTGCATAGTTCTCATGTACAACACACAAAATAAATTGCAGATGGATTAAAGTGTTAGATGTAAGAAGAAAAAGATGAGTTTAAATGGTAAAAGAAATAAATCATAAAATAATTATTCCTCTGTATTTTCTATTCATCTGACCTGGGTGAGAAAAAGAATTGGCTCTAAACTAGAAAGACCAGGTGGCTTAGTGCACTTAGCTTAAAATTCGTCTTCACAACCTCCATCAGATAGCCCCTCCAAGGAATGAGTAAAATTGCAACTCAGTTTTCATTTAATGATTAAAGCTTCTTTACTCTTTCCAAATTTAGCCCCCACTGCGTTTTTATAGATGGATTCACCTTCACTTCCCCTAAAATTAAACCATTAGGAGACCTTAACTCCTCCCTCCAAAGCATCTATACATTTTATTTTCTTCTCTCCTCTTGTGGAGGGAAAGGCCTTTCATTCTACCTACCCCTGCTTTTGTCTTTTCAAGACCCTACCAATATTAATTATCACCTATCTCCCACTCTTCAACCACTTCCTTCTATTTTGATTGTTTCAGTCATGCTATGCTCCCTCTTATCTTTGGGAGGGGACACTATTTTGGCTCCATATTCTCATCCCCGCTATTTTTGCTATTTTTTGGATTTTCCTCCCTTTTGAAGCCAAAATTGTTTACTTGACTCACCTTACCTTCTACTCTTCTCTCTGGGTTGGCTTGTGTCATCAATACTCTCCTTGTTCTTGCTTGAGACACAAGTAACCTTAAGGACACTAAACTCAATGGGTAAATTTTAGGTTACATCTTATTTGACTGCTCCTCCATGTCCATAACTGTTGGCTGGTTCCTTCTCAAGTTCCTTTCCTCTCTGGGATGCTACATGAAAACTCACCTTCCTGGTTTTCCAGTTGCCACTTTGAACACTGTCTCCCAATTTCAGTTTGTTTTTATTCTACTTGTTAAGATTGGAATTCATTTGGGCTGAGTCTTTGATTTGCTTTTTCCTCTGTGTTATATAGCCTTGCTACAAGATTTATTTCCTATTCATGATCTCAACTCCAAAATATTGTCTTCAGTATTGTCTCCAACTGTTAGCTATTATTCAACATTGCCACTGGGTTGTTTTTCATATACCTCAAATGGCAAAAATTAAGCTCACCAGCTTCCTCCCCAAAACTAGTCATTCTATAAGGTTCCCTCTATATAAATGACACTCTGATTCCACATTTTCACAAAGAAAGGTCTGGGATCTTCAATGACACATCCCTTCCCTTCTTTATCCTTTTCCATCACTACCAAGTTGTTAGTTTAGAATCCCTAAATCTTCTACACGGTACATTTCTCTTCTACACTAATATCCTACCATCTTTTCTCCTGAAGATGACACCAGACGTCTTTTGCCTAATTTTTCTCCTTTCATCCTTAACCTCACAAAACTATCCACTGTGCTCCAGTATCCCCTAACCCTTCTGCCCTAATAACTTCTACTTAAATATCAACTCTAATTTATTTGCCATTCAGTATCCTAACACAGAAGGCTAGAATTTCTCTGCATGTTATAATTCTCCTAGAATCATATCCCTTTACCTTAGAGTCCCAAAACAAATTTATTGAATTAATTGTGGTGTAATTATTTAAAGTCTGTCACCCTTTCCCTAATACAAGCTTTAAAAAGGATTTGACTACATCTCTTTTTGTTACTAGTGCATCCCTAGTGTCCATCACATTCCCTTGATCATATTAAATACTTAATAAATATTTGTGGAAAGGAAGAGTGGATAAGGGAAAACAATAAGAGATCTGATTAATCAAGAGCTTCTACGTACCTAAAAGATTTTAAAAGCAAATGAAAAACTATGGCAAAAAAATAATTGCAACCTTTGCAAGAAAGCTTATGTCCTTAAGAAGAGATTACAATTACAAGCCCATAAGACTAAAATGAACAAAAATGAAGAGCCATACAGGAAATTGAGCACAGAGTAGAGAGAGATTGTTCATAAGAGAATCAATGCAAATGGCTAATTAAACTGAAAAGAAAATCTGCCTCCTCAGTATTCTAAAAGAGACACACACCCAGTTATTTTTGTTGTTGTTGTTTAGTCAATGTTAGCAAGGATCAAACTAAATTTTCTCTTATGTTGGGGAGATCAACTTTCTGAAAACAGTCTGATCATATGTGTCAAAAATCTTAACCAAAATAGAGTTTTTTACTTTGGTCCATTAAATTAATCTCCAGGAATTTATCTTAGGGACATCACCAGAATTGCATGCAAGTACTTATTTATAAGAATGCTAATTCTGGGGCCAACCTCATGGCATAATGTTTCAGTGCTGTGCACGTGACTCCTGATCCCTTATAACTAACTGCAGTCCGAATCCCCTGAGCTCTGAAAAACGTGCTGGATGCAGATGTGTGCACACTCAAAATCATGATGGGAAAGAGGAATGGAGGAAAAAGAATTGTGGCATAACCATGTCCCATTGGAGAGTGCTTCCTCTCTCATGTGCATGTGTGTGAGCACAGGTGCCCTCAAAATTCTAGGGGATAGACACTGGTACAGCATAAAATGGGACACTCCGCAAGGCAATCCCATATGGGAAGGCTTCTAGGTCATGTCACCTTGTAGATCTCCCTGAGTACACAGGCACACACATGCCACGGTCCAGGACTGGCTGAAGGCTGGGGGTGGGTTGTGGCATTAAACCCTTTTTAGGGTGCTGTCTCTATGTCTCTCTCTAAGAAATAAGTAGGCAACAACAGAAAGAATGGTCATTCTAGTATTACTCATGATCATGAAGAATTCAAACCAACTTTAATGTCCAGTAGTAAAGAATTGGTGGCCATGCTGTCTGTGGTAGCCCTCACTGTTTGGTGCTGCACCTGTTCAGGCTGAGGCCATATGAGAGGCCCAGGTTCAGTTCCTGGCCCACCCTAAAACCACATGTGATGACATGCACCTGTAATCCCAGCTATTTGAAAAAGTGAGGCAGGAGGATCACAACATGGTGTGATCCTGTCAAATAATTTTTTTCCAGTTTTTGCTGTAGAATGCATGCACTTGAGAGAGAGAGAGAGAGAGAGAGAGAGAGAGAGAGAGAGAGAAAAGGGAAATCAATCCCCCAGGGGGATGGCAATGCTGCAATCTCTTCTCCTCCATGCTCCTTTTAAAAAAAGGTATGGTGACTAAAACAGAGCACATCACCCTCTAAGAAGCTATTAAAATGCATGTCCCTAAAGATCACGTGAAACTTATTTTTTAAAATCTGTGATGTGTTTAGTGATAAAAGAAGATCACAACATATTATGCACAGTAGGAATCATTTTTTTAAATTAAAATATATATGCATGGCCATATTTTATAGTTAAAAAATAAAATATGTATATGAAGTTTATATGCAGTAAAATACTGGAAAATATCTTTGGATATGAGAATCATGAATGATTTTGCTCTTTTCTTTTTTTAACCTTTTTATATATTCCTAATGTTCAACAAATTCTGTGTATCATGTCCATAATGAGAAAAACTAAATATATTTTAATTTAACAATGGGGAACTGATTGCAACATATGGCCGAGGCTATATCTAGAGAGGCGTAGCATGATGATTAAGAATATATGCTTTGAAGCTCATAGACAGGTGTTCAGTTCCCTCTTTACAACTTAAGAGGCATATGACCTTGAGCAAGTTATTTAATTCTGTTAGTCTCAGTTCTCTTATAGGTATAAAGGAGATAATGCATACTGGGCAGAGATATTTTGTGGCTTAAGTGAAATAATGTATGTAAAATTCTGATCAAAGAGTAAGCGCTTAGTAAAAGTACCTTTCTTTGTCATTCCAAAATATAAATAGATCCAGTAATGATTTAAGGGATTCATGATTCCCTAGGGGTTATAACTGAAAGTTTGGGAAATCTTTTATTTTATTTTCTGGCTTAGCATCTTCCAAACTATTATAAGGATGGTGGGATCCAGCAGGAAGATATTGGCAGAAAGACTGACCTGATTACAGAAGCAGCCCCAGAAAAGGCTATGCTTAGTAGGGCAAAGTTCTGGCCAAGTTCATTCATTCTCTCATTCATCTAACCAACAAATAGTAAGTGTGCCAGACATTGAAGATCAGCAGCAAGACACACTAGTTTCTTCTTGGAATAAGACAAGCTTCTTCTAATTGGATTGATTTTAAGACACATAATTCCTCTTGGATTCAGAATTTAGAAAACTGAAGAATCCTTCTGAAAGTTGGACACAACTTGGCAGGGTTAGGGAAATGATAGTTGGTGAAGTGACAGTGAAGCCTACTTTGCATTCCTCAAATACCTAAGGACCTAATTTCAAATTCTACGTGCTGGCAGAGCTGGGACATGCTGATGTACTTCTTACTCTTAAGTTTAATTCGCCATCAGATTTGCTCAGTCTACAGGTGAAAGGCAATCAGACTTCTGAAAAGGGATTAATAGACCATTGCCTGAGAGTCAAACCAAGCCATTGTCTGCTTTAGGAAATAAAGTTTTATTGAAACACAGCCCAGCCATTCGTTTATGGACTGTGTGGCTGTTTTTGTGTTATAATGGCAGAGTTGAGTAGTGGTAACAGAGACTGTGGTTCATAAAACCTAAAATATTTACTAATTCTTCATAAAAAGTTTTCCAATCCTTGTTCTGGGTCTTTGGGGCTAGAGAAATGACATGGAAGCTGATATCACATTTAAAACTTTTTCCTTCTGTAGTTCCAGGAGCTGTTCCCCTTGAATCCATCCAAGGTGGACCCTTTGAGGAGAAGATCTACATTCAATGGAAACCTCCCAATGAGACCAATGGGGTCATTACTCTCTATGAGGTAAGCAAGCCCCCTTGCTGCATCAGTGAGCTTCATTTTTATTCAGTTATCTTCAGCCTGAAGTTGGTGAACATCTGTTCCACTGATGGTGTAAAGGTAAGAAACAACTAACCTAAAGGTTTCTGACAATATGTTAGGAAGAAAATGCAAGAGCATTCAGTTGAGCTTTCTTGATAGTCCCATAGACATGTGGACACTGGACATGGCATGCATTGAGGTGATCTACAAAGGAGTCAAGACTCAGTCAGGTTGTCCTGACATAGAAGAGGAGACCTAGGCCTGGAAAAAGT